CTGTCTTATCAGTGTTCCCCATGTAGCCTGAGCATCCGGGGAGCTCCACTTAACTGTCTTTTTCCTCACAAATTCTAAAGTGTTATGTATAGCCTGTGGCCTTCTCACAGGGCTTATACATTTTTCACTTATATCTGGGAGGCTTGCTGGGCAGATATAGCTTGATTGCAAGCCTTCCAGTAAAGGGACTTGTCTATACAAATGCAAATTTCAGGGACAAGTAATTTATGAGGGGCCAAATTTTGTTGAGCTAATCATAGGGTCACCCTGGGGACGACAGAGGTTATTGTCACTGAAATGCATATCTTTTTCCTGGCCATTGCAGCAGAGAACATGGGCATATGATGAATCAGGTCTGTGGACCAATATGACTGCAATTCTTTTTTTGTAATGTCCATGTTAAGGGTTAGGCTCAAAAAAAGTTTTACATTCGGAAACTGTTCTGCCACCAGCAGGGAAGTTTATTATGCCTGTCCCGCCTGCAACATTAAATTTGGCCACTAGATGGAGCCCCGTTTACATTTAATGTTTTAACCACTTGCCCTCCAGAGGATTTACCCCCCTTCCTGACCAGGCCATTTTTTGCGCTACTTTAACTGACAATCATTATGCAATGCTGCACCCAAATGTAATATACGTCCTTTTTTTCCACAATTGAATTTGATCGCCTGTGCGTGGTTTTTTTTTTTTTTTTTTTTTTTTTTTTTTTTTAATTTCCTTGCACTATAACAAAAAAAACTGCCAATTCCAAGAAAGAAACAAGATTTTTGACTTTTTGCTATTAAACATGTCCAGTAAAAAAAAATGTTAAATCAAATTTCATCATAAATTTACACCAAAATGTATTCTGCTACATGTCTTTGCTAAAACAAAATCCCAATATGTGTAAATTGGTTTACATGAAAGTTATAGCATTTACAAATAGTGTATATATACTGGGATTTTCCCATCCCCAATGACACCAATACAGTGATCAGTGCTAAAAAAAAAAGCACTGAAACCCGTACTAATGACTTTGGGTAGGAAGGAGTTAACATGAGGGGTGATAAAAGGGTTAACTGTGTGCAGGGAGTGTTTTACTAGGGGGTGGTGTTTGTGTGTAATCACACTGCTTACTAACAGTTCTCCTCCATGTCAGCTCAGGCACAGCACAGCCATCCAGAGCAAAGATCCTCGGATCTCAACAGGTGCTGGTGAGTAATTACCGGCCGGGACCCGGTGACTGACAGCCGCAAATGGCGGTGCGTGCACACCCCTACCCGGAAATGCGAAATCACGTATATATACACATGATTTTGCTCACCCGTGCTGCCCTGTAGCAGTATTCCTGCTATAGAGCGGTCGGGAAGCGGTTAATGAAATGGAAGAACTGAAACTACTGATACACGAGGAAGATTTTGACTTTGTGGGAGTATCAGAAACTTGGTTTGACAGCTCACATGTCTGGCTTAGGACTGTCCAGAAGTACTGCTTGTATTGGAGGGACATTGAAGGTAGAAGATGGGGAGGGGTGTGTCTGTATGTCACTTCCCATCCCATAGCCAAAACAGGAAGTGAGAGGAAATCCCTACACATTACCTACTTCAACCTCCGAGCCATACCTGTACATTGCCAGGATGAAGGGGATATACTGGGATGATGCTTGCAGCTACAGGCATCATCCCGTTATCTTTTTCTTTTAGCCAGTGATGGGCTTTAATTTAACCACCTCCCGCCCGCTATATAGTAATATGACGGGCGCAAGGTGGTTCTCTCGTTCTGGGAGGACGTCATATGACATCCTCCCATTCTCACTGCGCATGCGCGGCTCAGAGAGAGCACAGATCGGCGGTGCGCTGTGTCCCTTGGACACAGCGGATCACGGAAAGAGCCGAAGATGACGGCTCGGTCATGTGATCAGCTGTGTCCAATCACAGCTGATCACATGTAAAAAGGTAAATGCCGGTTATCAGCATTTCTCGCCTCTCGAGATGTCACGCGGACAGCTCGAAAGGAGAGGAGAGCCGGTAATTGGCTTTCCATGGAGGGGACATGTAAACTGATCATCAGCGTACTGATGATCAGTGTGCCCTGATGATCAGTGTGCCCTGATGATAAGTGTAGCCCCAGCAGTGCCACCTGTCAGTGTCCATCAGTGCCTTATGTCAGTGCTCATCAGTGCCTCGTGCCAGTGCCTATCAGTGCACACCAATGCCACATATCAGTGCCCATCTGAGCTGCCTTTCAGTGTCACCCATCAGTGCCACCTATCAGTGCTGCCAATCAGTGCCACCTATCAGTGCTGCCAGTCAGTGATGCCTGTCAATACACATCAGTGCCACCTATCAGTGTCCATCAGTGCAGCCTATCAGTGCCCATCAGTGCACCCTCATTAGCGCAAATCAGTGAAGGAGAAAAAATCACTTATTTACAAAATTTTATGCCAAACTAAAAACATTTTTTTTCAAAATTTTCAGTGGGTTTTGATTTAAGAAAAAAAAACCCAGAGGTGATTAAATACCACCAAAATAAAGCTCTGTCACAAAAAAGATAAAAATTTCATATGGGTACAGTGTTGTTTGACCGCACAATTGTCATTCAAAGTGCAAGAGCACTGAAAGCTGGAAATTGGCCTGGGCAGGAAGTGGGGTATAAGTGCCCCGTAGGCTAGTGGTTAAAAGTGATCCTAGCAGCTAATTAACTGCTGGATCACTTTCACAGATGGAGGAAGGGGATCCTTCCTCTCCAGAAAGCTTGCCACTGCTCCAGCTATCACAAAGGATGTTGTTCATCGCTTGTGTTATCCATAAAAGGGAAAAAATAAAATTAAAGATACTGTAAAAATAAAAAATAAAAATAGTAAAAAAAAAAGTGCCCCACCCCCTCTCTTGCTCGCACGCAAAGATAAATGCAGACATAGGTAAATGCTGTTTGCACCACACATATGAGCAACTGTCTCAAACATTGTAGTGAGAAAAATAATTCTAGCACCTGACCTCCTGTGTAACACTAAACTGGTAACCTGTAAAGGCTTTTAAAGTGTCTTGCCAATGGACGATTTAATATACTATAGTTTGTCACCGTTCTATGAGCGTGCGCAATTTTAAAACATGACATGTTAGGAATCTATTTACTCCGCTTAACATCTTTTATATTTTACCAACAATTGGGTATTGTGTTTTTTGTGTTTTAAAGTTCTTTTTCCCCCAAAATTGTCTTTGAAAAACTGCTGTTGAAATACCATGTGACAAAAAACTATTGGAACACCCACCATTTTGTGTTCTATAGGGCCTCTGCTTAAAAAATATACAATGTTTGGGGGTTCTAAATTTTCTAGCAAAAAAAAAAAAAAATGCAAATTTTTACATGTAGGAGAGAAATGTCAGAGCTGTCCAGGGGGCTGAAGTGGTTAAAGGGATCTCTTGGGGCCCCAAGGTCACCCATTAGAGGATTTTCTCTTTATTGTTCTGGGGACAGCCCAAAATAGAGGGTGAATTTCCCTAATGGGGGCTGAAACAACAATAAAACCCGACAGATGTTCCAAACCCTCTCCACTCTGTCCAAACTAACGAAGAGAGTTTTGCCTTTAGTTATACTTTAACCGCTACTAATGCTACGGGCGGCAGGCCGCAGGACTTATATATACACGTGACTTTGCATTTCCAGGTAGGGGTCGCTGCCAGAGATTCCCTACCGGCACCCAGCCATCACCAAGGAACAGTGACAGGGAAGAGTTCTGTGTGAAAACAACACAGATCTCTCTCCTGTAAGCACCGACATACTGACAGAGCAATACAAACAGGGCTGTGGATAAGGGTGTGCCACCAGTCCTCCTGTACGGGGCCCAGGCCAGCAGGGGGCCCAGGCAGCTGGGTGAATCAGATGTGAGCAGGGAGACTGATCAAATTGGCGGGCAGATCAAGCACTCAATAGGATCCTTCAGGATGGAGAGTGGGGAAAGGGTCTAGTAAATGTCACATTTACCAGGCCCTGCCTTTCCTGAATGAACACAATGAGTGATTGGTACCGATCACTCACTGTATACATTCATAAACCAAAGCATAGTAAACTGTTTCTTTTGTGAAGGGCCCTGTCAGGTTGGCTGTATGGGGCCCCATGGTTTCTAAGAGCTGCCCTGAATACAAAGCAGCATGTTTACATAGTAAAACGCACACAGCACAAAGTTAACCCCTTCCTGCCCAGTGTCATTAGTACAGTGTAAGTGCTTTTTATTAGCACTGATCACAGTATTAGTGTCACTGGGGATGTCAGTGGCAGTTAGTCAGTTCCCCCCAGTGTCAGAAAGCCCGCCGCAGTCCCGCTATAAGTTGCTGATCGCCGCCATTACTAGTATAAAAAAAAACAAAAACAAATTCCAGTATATATACCGCCATTTGTAGACGCTATAACTTTCACGTAAACCAATTAGTTTACACGTATTGGGATTTTATTTTAGCAAAGACATGTCGCAGAATACATTTTGGCCTAAATTTATGACGAAATCTGATTTTTAAAATTTTTTTACTGGATGTTTTATAGCAAATATTTTTTTTTTTTTCAAAATTGTCTGAGTTTTTTTTATTATTTGCGCTATAAACAAAAAAAGACAGAAGAGATCAATAGCTACCGAAAGAAAGCTCCAATCGTGGGAAAAAGGGACATAAATTTAATTTGGGTGCAGCGTTGCATGACCGCGCAATTGTCAGTTAAAATAATGCAGCGCCGTGTCGCAAAAAATTTCCTGGTCAGGAACAGGGGCAAATCCTCTGGAGAGCAAGCGGTTAATGACCATTTGGGGTGGATTTAGAAATGTAGGACAATGAAGTCATTTCTGAGAATAAATTACAACCAGAACTCAGAAAATGAAACTGCTGGGAGCATGCAGTAGAACAGGAAAAACCACACGAGACCGGGGAGCACGCCTCTGAGAAGAGAATTCTGTACATGCTCAGGTCTCAGTGCGGGGAGCCTGGGAGGCACATCAGCAGTGTGCAGCTCCCATGGCCAGAACTCAGCGCTCTCTCCTGGGGTCATGGCTGTGTCTGGGGATATTGTTGGGTCCCCTGTTGTCGCCTGTGTTGGCCCTGACCGAATTCCTGTCCGGCTTCTGCTTTCTAGGGGAGTGCTGTGAGAGTCCCTATAACAGTACAGGTGAGGGGGAGCGGCGGGAATGACTGGGGAACTACACAGCCCAGCATGGGGTGTGTGTGTGTGTGTGGGGGGGGGGGGGGGGTGATTGGTTAATATCTGTCTCTGATTTCCTAATATTTCCAAGAATCAAATCATTAATTAAAGGGTATGGACAGACAGAAGTTTTTTATTAAGGGGGCCATTGATGGAGTGATTTCCATTCCTGCAACCACCAGTCAGTGTTGATGGGGGAATCCCTCTCTCGGGGCTATTGTGTTTATTCAGTGATTATTGCTAGTGGCTATGGCTGAACCAGTCAACAGATGAACTGTTTATGGCTGGCTTTAGTCCTGTATGGTGTAGTGAGGGTATACGACCTCTGTCCATTTATTTGTGTTCCTTTTTGAGGACATTTTCTTTTACTTTCCGTCTTGGAGACACAGCAAGAAGTTGGAGGAAACACCCAACCAATTGTCTTTGGAGCAGCCATCCCCATTGGACAATTTCCCCCCCTCCCCAACTCTTTTTCCGGTGACAACTCTGACATGTTGGATTTACCCTCAGAGACTGTGGTCAACTGGACAGATAAGCAGAGCGAATCTTTGCAGTGGGGACACAGACAGAAGTTATTTCTCAATTAAAGAGGCCATTAGCCTTTGCAAGGTTTCCAGTGATACAGAGCCAAAAGATAGACCTAAAGTGGTGTTTAGGGGCCGGTTCACACTAGAACATGGTGCCGGAATGGCGCATACTGTGTACGTTTCCCATACTGCATGTTTAATGAGATGCATGCAAGTGTTAATGGCACCCCAAACGCACTACTATTTCCACATTCACGCACATTTGGCAGCCCATTCAAATTAACAGACTGATAAAACCACTTGGAAGTCTAATACGAATGGGCTACCAAACACATAGGAAAGAGGAAGAAACCGTGCAAGCACTACTTTGGCAGATCATGCCACAGGAAAGCACATAGAACTGTGGTACCATGCAGTTTGATGGTAGCACGTTTGCAAGATGCATTTGGGGTGCCGTGAACAATTAATGTTGCAACTCGAAGGGTTAGTGAATCCACATGCAGTGGTGGGGACACATGCAACATACCTCTCACTCTTCCCACACAGCATTCTAGTGTGAACCGGCCCTTAAAGCACAATCTACTGTAGTACAGGAAGTGGAAACACTGTCGACACGTCCAGAAAACATATGGAATCTTTTCTTGTGTTTGTAAAGTATAGGATTGCTTATTCTATTTCCAGGAACTGTATTCATACTTAAAAAAAACAAAAAAACAAAAAAGAGATACAAAATCTGACAGGTGTTCTCACCTCTCTCCACTCTTTACAAAATTAAAGTGTTACTAAACCCAGGACCCTGCATTCACTATATCTGGTCTCCCACAGTACACACAACATGGAAATTTAAATTATTTCAGTAAATATAAACTAAATACTACTTTTCATTAGCAGTATATAGCAGTCTTGTGACTTCTATCAGTGTCCAGCTGAGCACTGGTTAAAGCTTGTAGGGGGAGTTTTCATTCTGCTCTGACTGTCCTATGAGGCTGCATAACCCCGGACCCACTGTCTGGACAGTGCTGATTGGCCCTGTGCTGATCACATGCACTCTCTCAAAGCAAAAAAAAACCCTCTCTGCCACTAAACAGAGCATGTGCAGAGTGACTCCCGTAGCTCTGTTCAGCAAATGAATTAGAGACTGTGGAAGAAGGGGAGGATTAGAGAAGACAGGATCAAACGATCAAACAGCCTTTTTACACAATGTGGAGGATTAACCCCTTAGGTTCCAAAGTGAGTATAGCAAGTATGTATATATGTGTGTGTGTGTGTATGGATGTATGTGTGTGTATATGTATGTATATGTGTGTGTGTGTGTATATATATACAGTCAGGTCCATAAATATTGGGACATCGACACAATTCTAACATTTTTGGCTCTATACACCACCACAATGGATTTGAAATGAAACAAACAAGATGTGCTTTAACTGCAGACTGTCAGCTTTAATTTGAGGGTATTTACATCCAAATCAGGTGAACGGTGTAGGAATCACAACAGTTTGCATATGTGCCTCCCACTTGTTAAGAGACCAAAAGTAATGGGACAATTGGCTTCTCAGCTGTTCCATGGCCAGGTGTTTATTCCCTCATTATCCCAATTACAATGAGCAGATAAAAGGTCCAGAGTTCATTTCAAGTGTGCTATTTGCATTTGGAATCTGTTGCTGTCAACTCTCAAGATGAGATCCAAAGAGCTGTCACTATCAGTGAAGCAAGCCATCATTAGGCTGAAAAAAACAAAACAAACCCATCAGAGAGATAGCAAAAACATTAGGCGTGGCCAGAACAACTGTCTGGAACATTCTTAAAAAGAAGGAACGCACCGGTGAGCTCAGCAACACCAAAAGATCCGGAAGACCACGGAAAACAACTGTGGTGGATGACCGAAGAATTCTTTCCTGGTGAAGAAAACACCCTTCACAACAGTTGGCCAGATCAACAACACTCTCCAGGAGGTAGGTGTATGTGTGTCAAAGTCAACAATCAAGAGAAGACTTCACCAGAGTGAATACAGAGGGTTCACCACAAGATGTAAACCATTGGTGAGCCTCAAAAACAGGAAGGCCAGATTAGAGTTTGCCAAACGACATCTAAAAAAGCCTTCACAGTTCTGGAACAACATCCTATGGACAGATGAGACCAAGATCAACTTGTACCAGAGTGATGGGAAGAGAAGAGTATGGAGAAGGAAAGGAAAACTGTCATGATCCTAAGCATACACCTCATCAGTGAAGCATGGTGGTGGTTGTGTCATGGCGTGGGCATGTATGGCTGCCAATGGAACTGGTTCTCTTGTATTGATTGATGATGTGACTGCTGACAAAAGCAGCAGGATGAATTCTGATGTGTTTCGGGCAATATTATCTGCTCATATTCAGCCAAATGCTTCAGAACTCATTGGACGCCGCTTCACAGTGCAGATGGACAATGACCCAAAGCATACTGCAAAAGCAACCAAAGAGTTTTTTAAGGGAAAGAAGTGGAAATGTTATGCAATGGCCAAGTCAATCACCTGTGGGCTCTGAATCCGATTGAGGCATGCATTTCACTTGCTGAAGACAAAACTGAAGGGAAAATGCCCCAAGAACAAGCAGGACTGAAGACCGTTGCAGTAGAGGCCTGGCAGAGCATCACAGGGATGAAACCCAGCGTCTGGTGATTGTCTATGCGTTCCAGACTTCAGGCTGTAATTGACTGCAAAGGATTTGCAACCAAAGTATTAAAAAGTGAAAGTTTGATTTATGATTATTATTTCTGTCCCATATTATTTTGGTCCCTATAAAGGTGGGGAGGCACATATGCAAACTGTTGTAATTCCTACACCGTTCAAATTAAAGCTGACAGTCTGCAGTTAAAGCATTTCTTGTTCGTTTCATTTCAAATCCATTGTGGTAGCGTTTTATAGAGCCAAAAAATGTATTAATAATTGTGTCGATGTCCCAATTTATTATGGACCTGACTGTATTATATATAAAATAATTTTGATTTTACTGTTGTGGGGTTATTTGTTAAAGAAAAAGTTTTGCCTATACAGATTCATTTAACCCTCTCGGCGGCTCCAAAAACGTTTTTGCTTCAAGACCAGTCAGCATTTTTTTGCTATTCACACTGCACTACTTTAACTGGTAATTGCTAATTTTTTTCATGCAACACTGTGCCCAAATGAAGTTTTGTATTTTTTTTTTATTTTTTTTTCCGCAACAAATATCGCTTTTCTTTTGGTGGTATTTTATCACACTTTAATATTTCATTATTATTTTTTTTATCCGCAAAAAAAAACCCTATTTTCTTCTGTTATGCAAAAAAAATGACCCTGTTAGTAAATGTAGTCATAAATTTATAGGCCAAAAATGTATTCTGCTATATGTCTTTGTTTAAAAAAAAAAAATCCAATGAGTGTATATGATTTTGGTTTGTGTGAAAGTTATAGCCTCTACAAACTTTGATATACAGTGCATTCATAAATATTGAGACCCCCCCCCCCTTTTTTCAGTTTTGCAATGTTGCAGCCTGAAACTGCAGTTGTTTAAATTAATTTTTTATTCATTAATCTACAATCAGGACCCCATAATGACAAAAATGAAAAGAAAATGATTAGAAATATCTGGGAAAAGTTTCAGACCCTTTGCAACTAAAACTTGAAATTTAGCTCAGGGTACCTCCTATTTCTCTTGATCATTGCTGAGATGTTTGTGATGTGGTTAATTTAAAATTGGAAGAATGGCTGAAAATCCCCCTAATCCAGGGTGTGTAAAGCTTAGTGGCGTTATTCCCAAAAAAAGGGTATGGGCAACTGTGGCTCCTCCAGCTGTTGTAGAAATACAAGTCCCATGAGGCATTGCAAAACTGACATTTAAAGCATGACTCCCAAAGGCAAGCATGATGTTGGGACTTGTAGTTTCACCAACAGCTGGAGGGCCACGTTGCTTACCCCTGCCCAAAAAAGACTCGAGACTGTAATTTGCTAGTCAAAGGTGCTTCTACAAAATAATATGGAGTCAGCCCTGGTTCCACTGATGCAGTGTGGAATTCGCAGCGTTTTCTGTGTGAATTCCGCATTGCATCAGAATCGCACCCTGTTCATGCGAACCGATGCCAGTGCATACGTTCAATTAACATCAACCTGGAAAGCGGTCTGCAAAACGCTGTGCAATGTGCAGAATTAAGATCACATATTGGTTGTGAATACCATGCGATCCAGATTCTAGTGCTGACCAAAAAAAGGGTCCTGCACCTTTTTAACACGAGTGTGGTGTGATTAGAGCCATACATAATGTATGGCTCCCAATCACACCGCACACACAAAACGTGTGATTTGCACAGGAATACTGTGCGGGTTCCTGTGCGAATTACATGTTATAAATACCTCACACATGTGTGAACTCAGGCTAAAGGGTCTCAATACATAAGTACATGTGATCATAATTAGATTTTTCTTTT